ATTGAAGCCCTAAGAGTGTACTATCACGTTGGACTAGTTTTAGGGCCTAAAAACTACGAAATCTCACCTTGCAAAAACCAAGGATTTCGGCCAAACTTGAAACCTACGATCCCGACGTCCAAATCTCTCCAACGAACGTCTCCGAGCTTCCTTAGGACCTCCTAAAGCTCACCACAAGCTTGAAATCTCCTGAAACACAACATTTTACGTTCGCATGAACAGTACCTAAAAAATGGAGGTTCGGGATCTACGTGAAATCGAAGGTTTCACTTCCTAAAACTAGCACCAATGAACTCAGGACGTCAAAACGATGAAGATACATACCTTATTTGCCTCGATCCGTTGAGTTTTGGAGGATTTTGGGTGTGTGCCGTACAATGGGTGTGTGTGCGTGAGTTCGTGAGGGAGAGGGAGAGACAGGGAAGGCACGGGGGAAGGAGAGGGAAGGAGAGGTCTTGTGTGGTCCAGATTAACCCACACCCTCCAATTCATCCTAGCCATACATAACAAAAATCCATCTTTCAAAATATTTTCTAATACCCTTGCACAAAATTTGAACTAATAAAGTCTCACACACAAGTACCTTAGTAACGTCAAGGGCAATCTCGTCATTACATATTCCCGTCAAAAGCACTTCTGGGACGGGCTGCGACATGAACCAAAAGGTCCAAAACTTAGGAAAAAAAAAAACGAATTATTCATTTTTATTCATTAATATTAGGTTTTTTTTATTATCAAATTGGATTATTCATTAATATTAGGTTTTTTTTATTATCAAATATGATTATTCATTAAATTGGATTATTATTAAAGTGGATTATTATTAAATTGGATTATTATCAAAAAGGAATATTATTCATCACTATGTTTTATATTAGGATTATTTTCATGAAACATAATTATCATAATTTATAGTAGGATTATTTATATTAGGATTATTATCAAAAAGGAATATTATTCATCATTTATATTAGGATTATTTTTTTTATCAAATTGGATTATTATTCATTAATATTAGGTTTTATTATTCCATATTATTTTTTAATTACTTAAATTTTTACAATCATTTTCTTTACTTCATATTGTATTCTTCTGTAGAATAACTTTATTATTTAGGTTCTCTTAAAAAACTTTATTATTTAATTCTTTTGTCTAATTTTCATGAAAAATAAATGTAGGTACGTTTAAGATGTCTAGTGGAGCTAGTAAACGTGATCCAGCTTGGGAACATGGCGACCCAATGGACGGAAACAAACATGGCACAATTTGCAAATATTGTGGTCGGGTAATGAAGAGTGGTGGAGTGACACGACTTAAGTACCATCTTAGTGGATTAGATCCAGCAAAAAATGTCCAACGATGCGATAGTGTCCCCCCAGAAGTGAAGACATTCATCAGCACATTATTAAAAAATAAAAAACAGCAGAAGGAAAAGATGACACAAGGAATGGAAAATATTTGAGCTGGGCTACGGGGAGAAGTCTATGGCCAAGCGGTTGACAGTGATGATGATGACGATGAGGACGAATGTGATGATGACATGGGACCTGAAGAACGACGCAGTTTGAAACAAGCATTACGTGCCTCCAAACAGTCAGCATGGGAAAGAGAACACCTTCATAAAATTCCTAATAGGGGACAAGGTTCCGGGACAAGTGGTGGTGCACAAATGAGACGGGGAGGCAGTCTTAGAGAATCACAACCAACACCACCAATAGCCCCAAGTTTATATAAGTCATCCAACGCACGTCAAAAGAGTGTTTGGAGTTATTTCAAGGGAGGTAATGTGAAGGAGGGAATGGGGCGTCTAATTAGCAAGTTCTTTATCTATGAAAATGTCCCTGCTGCGAAGGCATCATCACATCATTTCAAAAATATGGTAGTGGGATGTCAACAGGCCGGTGTTGGAGTACAACCTCCCACTCCCTATGAGATAAGAAACAAATATTTGGATATGGAGTATAAAGACATTGGCGAGTATGTTAACAAGTTGAGGTCAAAGTGGGAAACTAATGGTTGCATAATCATGTGTGACGGATGGACCGGCCCGACCAGATTATCTATCATCAACTTCATGGTATACTCCAAGGGAAAGACAATTTTTTTTGAAGTCTGTTGATGCTTCAGACCATATAAAGAATTACAAGTATATTTACAAATTATTGAGGGATGTAATCATGGAGGTGGGAGAGCATAATGTTGTCCAAGTCGTGACCGACAACGGTTCTGCATTTGTCAAAGCTGGAAAAAAGTTAATGAAGCATCATAATGTGTTTTGGACATCATGTGCAGCACATTGTATTGATCTTATGTTTGAGGCAATGGGGAAGAGAGAGAATGTTGCTACTGTGGTCAAAAGAGCTAGAACGATCACAAATTATATTTACAATCACGGTTGGTTGTTGGCAAAGATGCGTGAATTTTGCAGAGGAGAAATTATTCGTCCAGCTACCACTCGATTCGCCACCAACTATATTGCATTAAACAGCCTACTCAAGAAGAAAGCAGGGTTGAAGCAACTATTCACTAGTGACGATTGGGCCAACCACAATTTCAGCCGCTCAAATACAGGTCGTATGGTGGAAAGTATAGTGTTTGATCATGCTTTTTGGAGTCAAACAGAACATGTGTGTGTCAAGTGTTTGAACCTCTTTACAAAGTTTTACGGATCGTTAACACAGAAGTGTATCCTACTATGGGGGCAGTATATGAGTTGATGCGTGTAGTGAAGGATGAATTGGAAAGAAAACATGGTGCAAGGTGGGTCGTAAAAATAATTGAAGACCGATGGTATAAAACATTATACCACGATTTGCATGCAGCAGGTATAAATTATGTCATAATTTGCAATTCATTTCTTTAGTTGCATAAGTATTATTTATCTTATTAGAGTATGTGTTTCTTTGAACAGCATATTATTTGAATCCCCGATACCAATACAGACCCGGTGTTGGAGATGATGGTAACCTTATACGTGCTGTACATAATGTATACTCTAAATTAGACCCTGCATCACCAGCAGTTGGCCAATTTGGAAATGAGGTACACAATTACTTAAATTATAATAATTACTTTGTTGGATTAAACTAACACAATTTATTGTATTCAGCTAACATGGTTTAAAGATGCAAGAAGAACATTTGGAGAACCAACATCAGTTGCTGCTCGAACAAATATGTCTCCTAGTGAGTATAAACATATTTCACTATAAGTTTATAATAGAATTTGTTGGAGTTATTAGGCTTATCAACATTATTTTTCATTGTAGCTGAATGGTGGATCATGTATGGGACCGATGCACCAACTGTGAGAAAGTTAGCAATAAAAGTATTATCACAAACAGCTTCCTCATCTGCTTGTGAAAGAAATTGGAGCACATTTGCACTCATACACACACAAAGCAAAGAAATAAGTTGGCTCATAGTAGCTTGGAAAAATTAGTTTATTGCTACTACAACATGAAGCTTCAAATTCGAGATAAGGAAGCAGAAATCGATCATGTCGACCGTGGTGACCCACTAGATGTGTTTGATATTGTTGGTGAAGATGATGATACGGAGGGTAACCAACTTTTTCAATGGATTAGACCTCTTCATTTAGATGATGATGAAGGCAACCCAGCTCCCAGAGTTGTTGAAGAAGCACGTAATGAAGGGATAAATGTAGAAAGAGTATTAGAGGAGGAGGTGGGATCTAGCAGCGCTGACTCTTTCGAAGAACTTTTGCACCCAAGACCAAGCAACACTGGAATTCCACCTTTTTCCAATCCTACACAACCACAACATCGTGCTGATACTAATGATAGCTCTAGTACAAGATCAGGAGACTCACCTACCACCGGAGGTGGGAATGATGAAGGACATAGTGGAGCTGGAGGTAGTGGAGCTGGAGGTAGTGGTGGTGGATATGGAAACTATTATGGACCACCACCTCCCGGATATATGAGCCCCTTCACTGGTGAGGCAAACTTCACGCATGCAACACAGGATGATGACCATGGCAGTAGGCGGGCAGGACCAGGAATTGGTGCCATAGGGAAGGACCATACTCGCAGAGAAAAAGGCAAAGGGATTTTGTCAAGTCAAGAAGATGACTCGTTATCTAGAACTTCAGACTCTGTTGGATTGGGAAGTAGTAACTATGGTTATACTCATAACCAACCATTTCCCTACCCTTCATATCCCATTCCTGTTGGGATGGAATCGAGCGACTCATGGAAACAATCCTAGCCTCAATCTTCAAATGATTTTTCTTATGGACAACCTCAACCAATCTCGGATCCATATGGGTGGCATATTAACAATTACATGCAAAACTATTTTGGGGATTTATCATTTGATAACTACTCTTCACAATACACTCATTCTACACATAAAGATGATGAAGATAGTGACAAATTTGAACCTCATAGGAACTCTATGTGGTACTAAAGTGTAAAATATTGTACTAATTCATTATATATAAATGATTATGGTGTGTTTAGACTTCTTTCATTAATTACTACATATTTTCTACACTCATAATGTTTGTCAGATCGCTATATAATCAACTTGATAATGTTAAATCCATCATGCAATGCATTTCCTTCCAATTTTTTGTGATAAACTAATAGATAATTGACTAAATAAACATCCTACAAAGTTTCAATAAAAATTTCCAAGTTTTTCTTACAATTTCCGTGGTTTCCATGTAATTTTTATCGATATCGATATTTTACCGATATTTCCATCGATATTTCCCTGTTTTCGGACTACCGATATTTCCGATATCACCGATATTTTCTTCCTTGGTTGAAACCAATTGTCCCACATCGGACAAAGGGAAGGAGAAAGAGTACTTTAAATAGAATTATCCCACTCTAACTAACACCGAGGCCTTTTGTGATAAAACCCTACACCTGAGGATTGTGCAGGTGGTTAAGTGGGGACAGTATCGGTGTTGTTAGAGTGGGCCATCGGCCCGTCGACCTGAAAATTTCCACATGGTATCAGAGCCAGGGGATGGGTTCGTACTGCCGCACGATTGGGTGAGTCCCAACATGGCTCCACGTGGTTGTCGATGTGTGGAATTTCACGTGTGACCCATAAATGGGGCCTCACGTGCGGGGAGTGTTGAAATCAATTATTCCACATCGGACAGAGGGAAGGAGAAAGAGTACTTTATATAGAATTATCCCCGCACATCACTCACGACTCACCCCTCCAAACCATCAAGAACCTAAGTTCATTCTCTTCAACAATCAATTTTGTTGAACTGATACAAAGTTTTGAAGAATGAATGACCAAGAAGTCACTTGGAGAAACCCAAAAGCGGTTACGCAAACAATTTTTTAGATTGAATTGTGATTTTCCGTTATTGACAAACTAAAGATTTGAGAATAGGGTGGGTCTAGTCTCTAGTTGGAGTCCTCCTGCAGCTCCCTTCTGTAAGGTAAACGTCGATGCGAGCTGGTCCAAGTTGGCCAAATCTGGTTTTGTTGGGGTTGTAGTGAGGAACGAAGTGGGGGAGTTCGTTGCAGCTGCGAGATTTGCTATTGCTGCTTCGTGTGCTGCCCTGGCGGAGGCTTATGCACTGCTTCGTGGTTGTGAGGTGGGATCCTCTTTGGGTCTTTCATCTGTGATTTTTGAATCTGACTCCTTAGAATCCATTTCTTGCCTCACGGGTTCGATGGAGGATGGTTCCTGGGAGGCTTTTCCAACTTTGGTGAGAGTCAAGGAGATGGGGAAGACTTTTCAGAACTGTCGCTGGTCTTGGGTTCCAAGATCAGCCAATGTTGCGGCGGACTCTCTTGCGTCAATTAACAACCAGGAGATGTGTGATGTTGTCTGGGTCGATCGACCCCCATCTTCTTGGGTACATGTTCTAAACAATGATGGCTTGTCGTGTCCTCATTAATTTGTTTTGACTGGGTAGGGGGCGACGCTTGCTTGTTGCAGCGTCTTCTTTATTGTAACCCTCTGCTTTGGTTTCTGTTGGTTTGTTTTAGATTGCCTCGCTGTAGGCTTTTGTGTTCGTTCTGGCATCTTTGCCTTGGTTTTCAATCCCAGTTTCTACCAAAAAAAAAAACTAAAGATTTGAGAATTGCTCGGAAAACTAAGAGTAAATTGTAGCAATGATTCGTCAACTTTAACCCAATTTGAGCAATGATCTCTTAACTTTAACCAAATTGGTGTAATGATCCGTCCAACATAACTCATTTTGACAAAATTCTGATGAAGTTGACGAAAATGATCATAGCTACATGTTTTGATGAGTTGAGGGATCCCAATTGTCGCAATGATCCTTCCAATACAATTTATTTTGACAAAATTCTAACGAAGTTGGCGAAAAAGACCATAACTACACATTTTTATGAGATGAGGGACCAATGGTAATGAATTTTTAATTGAGGGACCATTGCTCTAATTTGATTAAAGTTGAGAGACCATTGCTACAATTTACTCGAAAACTAACACCGAATGCGTATACAAATGGCTCGGCAAATCAATTAGAGAGTTTTGCCAAGTCCACTGAACATCCCAAGGAATGTTCGGCCAACCAGAGGGAACATTGGGCCTTGACGAGCTCAAGTGATACTCGGTTATCTGCTGCATTTTGTTATTACCCTTTCGGATCATTGCTTTGTAGAACCAGCTGGAGCACTTTAGTGCAAGCAATCCTCAACTCTACAAAGCCTTTCAATACAGAGAGTTGTTTTTTAACTATGCTATGAAGTTGAGTATTTTTTCGTTTGAATTGTGGGGTGCAAAAACAGAATTACTGGTTCAGATTTATTTGGGTGGGTAATTTGTAAACTGCAGCACTTTTTATTGGAAACTTTGATAAGTGACTTGAGTATAATTTTAGTCAAGGATATTTTTTGAGATGCATGCCTACAGAGAATCGAAGTTGCATTCTCTTCATCAGCACTCAGCAGTTCCATTCCACGGTACCAACTACCAAGTAGTATCAATACTATTTGAATTTCAACATATGCTAAAATAATCGTAATTAACTCCATGTGTATATCTTGAAGCTCATTTTATATAAGTTAGCAAACAAAACTCTTTATCCATAATGATAAACTCCTCTTAGCTACCACATATCAGAACAAAATTTCATCACAAAAGTAACATAACAATACGATAAACTTCGACAACCAAAAAAAAAAAAAAAAAAGGAACAACCAAAGGGAGAAAAACCAAATTAAACTCCTAAACCTTAAATAATCTCAACTTGAACTCCATCCCTTCTCTTGATAGCTCTAATATTACTTCTTTTCTCAGTTTGCTTCTTCATTTAAGTATTTATTCAAATCACGTTTTGGGACTTTCTTAGGATCAACTCCATCTTGAGGAGGTCAATACTTTTTTGGAGCTGGCGGGCATGACACATCTTCTAGTCGCATTAATATAATCTACTTTTCTTTAGTTGTTGGGGTTGAAATCTTGATAACTGAAACAAACTAACACAAGGCCAGTTGAAGACGTCTAAAGGCAAGTACTCACGTAAACTTAAAGGTAAGTGTGTTTAGAATAGAAAGACATATAATTATACTACCGTGTTGCAGGTTAATTTCCTTTCCTAAAAACAAAGGAACTCCCCAATAGGCTAAGAAACATTAACCCTAGAAAGAAAGGGAGAGAAGCTAAGCAATATACCTTTTTTTGCTTTCCCGGTGCAGGAAGGAGAAGAAGGCAGGCGTGTCATTACTATTACAAACTGGAAATTCAATATAATTTGGATGTACTAATCGGACTTGTAAGGATAGCTGGCTTGAAGATAAAACTCTCGTTTATTGTTGTCGCAAAGTAACATACGAACTTTTATTTATGAAAGGAAAAACTCTGCACCCCTTCCACCTCTAGAGGTGGCAACCAGTGCAGATAGAGCAGCTATGGAGTTCCTCCATTTGAGTAGAGTCCCTCAATCTTCTGACGCTCAAATGATGATCTCTCCTCTGCTGGCGAAGATGAGCCATCTGAGATGCATGGTGCTTGCAAAGTCGATGAGAGTGCATAAACTAATTGAGGAATAGGATTCCAAAGTTGCAATTGTTGTTTGTTGGAGTTCAGTTTCAAAGGATTGTAGTTTTGTTTTCCTTGTAGAAATATTATATAATTCACCCTTTTAACTTTAAGCATATTAGCAAATGCTTCAGTTAACGTAAATACATGCTCCACCCCAAGCACATGTATAGTATTTTCTTGGATCAAATGGTAGACAACATTCATAATAAGTCCAAATGGACACAGCCTTAAAAAGGACCGATATACAGAGAGAAGACCGCCGTTAATGCAAACAAAACATATGTATAATATAAGCCCAACATTGAAGAATTCATCTTCAGTAAAAAGGAAAAATCATAATAAAATCATGCCATTTTTATCTTGTATAGATTTTCAACCATTTTCCACTAGAATTTATCAACAAGTAACACAATAGTATGTTCAAGGGAATTTTAAAATTCCTTTGCAATTTCGTCCTAGTTCACTTCACCATCTGGACGAAAACAAAAAAGGAGAAAGAACAAAATTATATACATCAAAGTTGAACGAACTTCCATGAAATTCTGGCTAAGATTGGCGGATCAGTTGCTTATCACCTAAAGAGTCCTCCCGACTCCTGAGTCCAAAATCAACCCCTTTAGTGAAAGATTTGAAACCTATTATCAGTTGTTTATCATCGTGTGATCCGATTAGTTGTCGTGTCGATCCGAAACCTATTATTTTCGTGTCGTTACGTGTTGTGTTAACGAATCGTGTAAGATTACATGAAACTTTATCAGCCATTTAGGAGTTCATGAGTGCCTCTCAACACTTTTTCATCATAATTTGGTATTTTGTCTTCTGCGTCCTCGATTAACAAAATGGGACATAAATATCTGCCTTATATATGGATCGTTCTTAATTTAATCACTACATGTTGAGACAACACGTATTCTGATGACAAAATTCTAGCTCTAAAAGCTCATCTTGCTCATAGAGTATTAGTTCTTACGGAAATATCAATAGTTTAATTACAGTTAAATCGACGAATATTAAGATAATATTGATTTAGTTAATTATTAGGAACGAAAATGATATAAATATGTAAAGGTACCGTTTGGTACGCAGACGGGACGGAACGGAACGGAACAGGACGGAACAGGACGGAACAGGACGGAACGGATGATGTAAATATTGAAAAAGATAAGGGGAAATTTTGTTATAAAATGTTATAAATTTGTGTTCTACGGATGTGGAACGGGTCGTTCCAGGGGGAAGAGGTGGAACGAAAAATCAGCCAATTTTCGTCCCATGGGACAACCCGTTCCACAGTTTTTAGGCGCACCAAACGTGGGACGGAACGGCTCGTTCCGTTCCGTCCCGTCCCGTCCCACGTACCAAACGGTACCTAAGGTTTGGACCTCAACGTAGGATCCTGGACCCCATAACTTAGGGTTTTCGACTGAAATTTAAAGGTTTTGGCACTCAAGCATAACAAATGTTTTTTAGAGACAGCTCTGGTGGTTGACCTGGGCTTTGGTCCATCGATTTTATCAATTTTCCAACCCGGTGACAGTGGAGTCTCTTTGAAAGTAACTCTTTCCTCTTGATTCAAGCAGTGACAAAGAATGCACGAGATGCTTCCCCTCTAAGTCTCATTACTGAGGACATCAAAATGTGGGTTCATTCTCTTGATGGTGCGCAGGTTTCACATGTCCGATTTTCTGCTAATTTAGTTGCTTATAGATTAGTTAAATTTGCTTTGTATTTTGATTCGATTAAATATTAGTATGAGGAGCCCTCGGATATTATCCATAATTCCCTCTTAGATGATTGTATGACTTTTTGAGTTTGAATAAAATCACTATCGTTTCTCTTGAAAAAAAAAAGATGTAAACTTCAAAAAAAAAAAAAAAAAAATCTTTTAGGATAGTACTATTCACACACCTATTTTCACTTCCTACACACTCATGTTAATTTTTTACCATCGATCTTCTTCAATTCATTAGATCCAACAACTAAAAATTAAGAAGGTGTGTGAGAAGTAAAAATTGGTGTGTGGATAACACTACCCTTCTTTTAAAGCAAAATACTCGTCACCCAACAAACTCATGCAAAACCATTGTTACTATTGTTCACTTTTTGTGTAGTGATCCCCGCACAACACTCACGACTCACCCCTCCAAACCATCAAGAACCTAAGTTCATTCTCTTCAACACTCAATTTTGTTGAACTGATACAAAGTTTTGAATGAATGACTAAGAAGTCACTTGGAGAAACCAAAAAGCGGTTACGCAAACAATTTTTAGATTGAATTGTGATTTTCCGTTATTGACAAACTAAAGATTTGAGAATTGCTCGGAAAACTAAGAGTAAATTGTAGCAATGATTCTTCAACTTTAACTCAATTAGAGCAATAATCTCTCAACTTTAACCAAATTGGTGTAATGATCCTTCCAACATAACTAATTTTGACAAAATTCTGATGAAGTTGACGAAAATGATCATATCTACACGTTTTGATGAGTTGAGGGACCCCAATTATCGCAATGATCCTTCCAATACAACTTATTTTGACAAAATTCTAACGAAGTTGACGAAAATGACCATAGTTACACATTTTTATGAGATGAGGGACCAATGGTAATGAATTTTTAATTGATGAACCATTGCTCTAATTTGATTAAAGTTGAGACCATTGCTATAATTTACTCGAAAACTAACACCGAATGCGTATGCAAATGGCTCGGCAAATCAATTAGAGAGTTTGGCCAAGTCCACTGAACATCCCAAGGAATGTTCGGCCAACCAGAGGGAACATTGGGCCTTGACGAGCTCAAGTGATACTCGGTTATCTGCTGCATTTTGTTATTACCCTTTCGGATCATTGCTTTGTAGAACCAGCTGGAGCACTTTAGCGCAAGCAATCCACAACTCTACAAAGCCTTTCAATACAAAGAGTTGTTTTTTAACTATGCTATGAAGTTGAGGATTTTTTCGTTTGAATTGTGGGGTGCAAAAACAGAATTACTG